TGTCATTCTTTTTTTTATCTAGCTAATCTCTTCAGAGATCTGGCCTTTGAACCCGTGTATTGTCAATACATCCAGTGTTTATATCCACTGGACATGTTATGCTAGCTCATGTAATATTTACTGTTTTGCCAGCTATCTTCATAGAACTACATTCTCTCATGAGAGCAGAACTGAATGCAGCATCCTATTTATCCGGCCACTGAAATATGCTGCTTATCTTGACTCTAATTCATGCAGCAGCTACCTTATCTGTTTATCTCTTTTTCTCATGCACTGCACAAAATTGTGACTGGGTACAAAAGGAATTTTGAGTTTGGTTTTATTTGGTTTTAGCTGAATACAGAGAGCTTTTTCTGACTGTTTGCTTTCTTTATTAAATGACAACAATAAACATCAACCTTTAAGTAGGGCATCTCAGCAGGGTACTTTAAAGTTTATAATAAATTTGAGTTTTATCCAAATTTAAAAACAGCTTTTCTTTGGCAGTCTCAAAACTATCAACTGACATAAGACTTCTGGTATTTTCAAAGTATGAGAATTTCATCTGGTAAATTAACTTTCTATTTAAGAAAAGGAATGTGTAGTTGTGTGGCTTAACCCAAATGAGAAACAAAATATTTTTTGTTTTGGTGGTTGAGTTGCATACGGTAAAGAGGGAAGTTTTAGTTACAGAAACTGATTTAATTTTTCCAGTGAGAGTGGCTCTTGATATCCGTGAACTCCATTTCATAGCATACACATTTTAGGAAGTATTAAGTGTGGTTTGCCTTGAAATATTCACACCTCGACGCGTTCATTTGCATTATTACATTTAGAAGCCTTGGGGCTTTATCACTTCCTTTTCTTGAAATGGCACAGTAATAAGAAAAAGTGGTTATGCTTATCACCACCCGTCAGTCAAACACCTTCTATATTAACAAAATAAAAATTTTCCACTCAATGAATGGGCGTGTGACATCTCGTACACGTCAATACTAGTATTACTTTGCCTGGTGAAGAAATCATTTTATTTAACCGGATGTATGACTAGAAGTAAATGAGGAGAAATTCCCATTTACAGTTTAATGAGCAGGGACAATGCAGCACGTCAAACTCATGCATTCAGTGTAATTTAGGAGTAAAAGTCATACAATTTTGCACAAACAATGTCACATCGTAAGTACTTTGCATGAAAACCATAAGCAAAAAAATTCAAGATACAGTAGGGGCTGCAAATACATTTTGTGTATGAATGTTTACTACTACAGATATTTTTCCAAAGGAGATCTTAGTAAAGAAGAAAATAAGCAGATCACAGGGTTGTTTGATTGTAAAAAGATCATCTATGTATCTATAACAGCCTCTTTCACTACCTTTTCATTCTGTCAAACAATAAATATAACCTTTAACCTTGTATATGTAATGAATAAAACTTGAGCCTATGCTGTCTAATCAAATGAAAAGTCCAATATATCCTACAGCTACGTCACCTTCAGTGACCATGTGCCCTATTTTTTAAATCTCAAATTTTATGTAAAAAAAAGAGAAAAAAGAAAAAAAAAAAAACGAAAAAATGTCTTGATAAGGGAATTTCCACACACTTCAAAGAAAAAGGGTATTAGCATTTTTAGACTAATGTTTAAATATACTTAAATATAATTGCTCTGAGAGGACAAAAAACATTCAAATGCAAAGGTGCCTCAGTAAGGAATGCTACATAAAGCCAGAATAAAATGTAATAGAAGGAATGGACAAGTTATATGCTCAAGATTGCTTTGCTGAAACGTAAATATTTCAATATGAGTAAATGCAAAAGGCATATGTTTTATTCTGTCACTGACATCATAGGCAAACTGAACACATCTAATTTCATTTCCACAAAACATATGAACTACATTTATAGTTTTTATTCACTTAGAATCTGTGAAAATGCAAAGGCAGTGCGAAATATTTTGTACAGAAAGACTAGTAATCAGAGGTTAAAATATCTCAAAAGACTTATATCCCATTATCACAAATGGCACTGGAACCTTACGTGACAATGGACAAATGAGTAATTTAAAAATGTTAGATTTTATATCTATAGTTAACTATGAAAGATATTTTAAACCAACAAAACAAAACATGACAGGATGGCATCACTTTTAATTTCACTGCTCTGGAGGGCTTTTGCCATGCATGTAGTAGTGCTGGAATTCTTCTAGCTTCAAAAGATTGTTTGAGGCATATTAATTGCTGAATATTAAGGACAGAGGCTTTTTGAAACCCAAGAAGGGCAAACGTGTGGGAAGACAGAAGGTCAGGAACTGACAAAGGAGATTTTCTCCATCAGGAGCTTAGCTGGAGGTTTCGAGCTGCCATCAGATCTGCAAGAAAGCACTGCAGGGTAAAATGTGACACACGGAACTAGGTCCTGTGGAAAATACACTGTGTACCTGCTCCAGAGGTCTGACTGAAGCCTGGTGGCACACTTAGTTTCAATAACGTGAATAATAAATCGTTGGCTCCAGTTTTTACGCACTAGGCTGCTCAGGCTTCACCTCCCAACTGAGGAAAGAAGGGGCTTACTTATAGATATTGGACAAGAATGGAAATTAAAACAGAATTGCAAAGGAAATACTTCAAGTTGGATCTGATTTTTAAGATTTCTACTGATAAAGCATGAATTGAAACAGGGTGCAAGTAACGCGTAACAGCTGAAGTGCACAGAAGTACTGCATTTCATACTAACTGGACACTGCCTTTTACAGAAAGTCATTAATCTATATTTCCTTTTAAAATCATTGTGAAATAAAACCTAAGGAACTGCTATCAGATGTTATTGTAATAAACACTGGGAAAAAATGGCAATTACACCCCTTTCATCCTGAGGGCTCCCAAAACACTTTACAGATTGCACATGTGCTTTCTCAGACATCCATGGAATAAATGCAGCCCAGACCTTGCCTGAAAGGGGAGACCACTCTGCTTAACCACTTCCATGTAGATTTGTTCAAAGTTGCCAAAACCAGGCTTTTCCAGAAGAAACCACCAGTAGCTTTCTAATAAGAGGATGCAGTTATCAAACTGTGTAAGAAAAGTTCCTCAAGCAAAATACTGCTGCACACATTGCACAGATTCTGAAAGAAACTAATAAATGGGGATTTGATTTCACATTTCCTTTTAAAGGAGAGCATTACCAGGATTGCGATGATACTTAATAAACTGTACATGCACTAATTCCATAATGAGTCTTTACTAACTCATGAGGAAAACATATCTACTCAGCTATCACCATGCTTCCTGTTGCAATTATATACTTTAATAGGCTGCCATAAAAATTTGGATTCAACCAAAACTGAGCAGCTAATGAAGGACTTACGAGACACAGTCTAATCTTGTTGCACTTCACCACACACACTGCTATTCATACTAGAAAGAAGTGAATTAAAAGGATTTTGAAAAGTGTAAGGGTCTTAATGAAAGGTTTATCATGATTAATAACTCTTAAACAGAAATATTTTTATACATGCTAGCAAATGAGCCCATGCAAGATTCTTGCTGATCTCTATTCATGTTTGTAGATTTCCTTTTATTGTTCCTGGTATGCATTACAATGGCATTTTATAAGTGAAAAACACATTTGTGAAGCATACCTATAATACTGTGAAACGTCTGAAGTTCTTACAACACAAGCAGTGTCTCAACCAACTTGTCTACATTTGAGGCATATTGCTAATGTAGTTTGATTTCTATTTCTTAAAATATAAAAACAAAAATAACAAAGCAAACTTATTTACTTACCCAAGAGGAAAGGGAGAGGGAACTTAATATGCCTCCTCTTGTTATTTTGCAATAAAGTGCTACTCAACTTACAGTGGAAATCTCAAAAAAGCCGGCTTTAAGGAACAGTTACAAAACACATCTGTAGGCACTGTAAGTACAACAAGGATGCAAGTCTATGGGATAAGCAGGGTAGGAGCTATCTGCCCAGGATTTTTGCAGGAAAAGGAGGAAAGAAAAGCAGACTTAAATGCAGGAACCAAAAAATCTCATCCCTAACAGAAGCAGATAACATAGGGACTGCCGCATAAATCCTTGAGGTCATCTTTCTCTCTCTAGCCTCATTCCTAAAGACAGCAAGTGACAGCTTTCTGCAACTCTGCCGTTCTGAGCTCATGCACTCTCAAAATGCATGAACAACTTCTGTCTCCTGGCTGAAGAACCACAGATGTAAGAAATCTGGGATGCAAGAAAGTTGTCATGCCTATACAACAGATACCTCATGTTGGGGATGTTGCAAAGCCTTTCCCGATGAGAAGGTACAGGCACTGCTTTGGCTGATATGAACCAGGAAATACTCTACCCAAAACTCAGATCCAAACCATTTCTTATCCTTCTTCCAGAAGAACATAAGTAGAGCCCCCCCTAGGTGATTCTGCCATACATGGTTAGGACACACATTCTCATCAGCCAGGTGGCACAAGTTGGGTAGCAGATGTGAATATATAAACCACAGTGTGGTGACATTAGGAAAATACATAATAAGAATTGTATTATTATAAGGAACTAACTGTCCAAATTTGGTTGGAGGATAAAAAAAACTTCCACAAATAATAATAGGAACCAGACAGTCCATATTCTAAAACACGTAAGTACTTCTTAATGAATAATTATTTAACAAGAGCTGCTACTACAGTCTAGTCCCTGCAACAATGTGAAAAATTAGTTCAAATTTTTTATTTCCACTGGATCAGTTTTCATGAAGTGAGGGAGGTAATTAGTGGGATCAAGTGGCCTGATGCACCCAGGAACTGGAAGTCAAAAGGCACTGAGGAGTTACAGGTTTGGAACTGGATCAGTCAGGGTCATGTAAATATTATAATGTAGAGACTCAATATAAAATGATTCTAAAATATAACTCTAATTCATACTTTCTTGACTTTATACAAAGACCTACTTATTAAACAGAATATAAATAATAAAACAAAATTTCTTGCTAAAAAGGATGGCTAAGTGCCTTTAGCGGAGTTGAATCATACCTTTGAAAGATCCCTGAAGTTGCCTGGAAGGGTCAGGTCTAACTCTTCAGATTCATAGTTTGTTAAGACCCACGGAAATACGGGGTATTGGTTCAGATCATTGTACGTTCGTCCTATTAAGAAAGAAAACATTATAAGAATTAGGAAACAGTATCAGTTGAAAAGCAATCCAGTAGTTGCATTCATTGCATTGCATGTTCCTGATTCATCCCACTTGATAGAAACAGGTATAAATTTACCAGACAAAAGTAGTTGTTTAGATGCTCTTCAATCAAAAGTCAACACAGACATCAGCATAACGTAAAGAGAACAGTATATTTCAAAATCAATTAAAAAACCATATGCCAATAAGTACCTTATTTTTTATTTCCATGAAGCTGTTTTTACAGTACAAGTGATAAAATCTAAAACTAATATTAGAGTATCATTTTTCAATCAACTGTATGCAATATGATTGGTTGGTAAAGATTGAGAGTCCAACAACAAGAGGCTGTATTTCAGGCTTGCAAATCTGGATCTGTCCTGAAGTATATTATTCTATTATTCCCCACAGTGCTTTTCTGCTAAAGAATGGACGAGAACTCACTGAACTGAAGGTTCAGAACTGCAGAACTGAAGGTGGAAAAATACATGTTTATTTTAACTCTATTTCCTAATCAGTTTGAAACACAAAAAACATTTTACCATTTTTAAAAATGGAGCTGACTGCCCCAGGCCACTTTCTCCAAACATAATGGAAGAAACATTACTGAGATCCCAGAAGCCCAAATATGCAAAAGTCATCTCTAGATAGTTTCAAAAAAAAAAAAAAAACAACTGAAAAGAACTGAAACTTATGAGTTCATCACCAGGAAAAGTGTGTTTGGAAGAGGTTGTTACTCCTGTGCCAACTACTATTTAGTAGTATCTAATATTTCACTGATAAGACAAACGAAGCTGCTCACTACCATCCACCATATTGATTTACTAGAAATCACACAATGTGCAACATGAGTATTAAAAACCAAAATCAAGTAATAAATACATGTGTGCGCATTTATATAATATAATTAGCAGACTGAAATAACCCAGGTTAACAATTCCCAGTCCTGCAGCAGATTTACAGCCCTGTCTCACTAACTGCTTCCTTCCAGATTCTGGACAGATTCCTAGGGTAAAAAACCTGGCACAGGAAAACACAGACTTCCTTGTTCAGAGTAGCATTTGCAATTCTACACAAAAATCAGCTCTGCGTTAATGAAATATGAAACTTATACTGCTCTACAAACACCTTATTTTTGCAATAGGAGTTGATGAACATGAAGTCTGTTTCTATTTTGTATATAGTCTTGCTGGAAAAGGAAAAGGTGTTCAATGTTAACAATTTTGCATTGTTGTTTGTGTTTTGAAAACATTCGTGTCCACAGGAATATAAAAAAAGTAATTTAAGTGCAAATACAACTTCAGTTAAAAAAGCAATCTTGGCACTATGTACAACATGCAAATGAACATGGATGGGAACAAAGATACTTCTATAATATCAACAGTGAATGAATATAAAACCATTTTTGGACTAAATTAATTGTTATTATCAATTAAATCAGGAAATAAAGCATAATTTACCTGTGTGAAGGAAGAAAAGGAAAGGTAGTATCTGGTAGAACACTAATCTTTAGCTTGTTTATTTTCTCATAAATCTTTAAGTAAGCTAAGTCTGTCTCCTTTTCTGTGTCTTTCAAATCAGAGTATTATTTTCAGCTTTAGCAAGGGATTAATGACATGCAATTTATACAGTTTCTTGACATCGTCACAAGGTTCTATAAAATATGGCCTCTATACAAGTATATCCTTGCACAACAAATGTTTTTCTCTCCATCAGAATCCCCAGTTAAGTTAACAGAAGAGTTTCCAAAAAGAAAATAAGAACAAGAACAATGTTTGGGATGTAAGGAAATAATTTTAACTACTGTATACTTTTATCTCACTTATAATTCAGTGACACATTTACCTTACACATTTACAAATAAAGTTTATGTTTATTTAGACAGCAGACTCAAAAGAAATTTGAGATTGAGGAAAAGATGGAGGTGAGCATAGTCTAATAAAAGCATAAGCAAAAAAATGATGATTCTTCAGAATCAAAAGCTTTTGTGGTAACAAAAACAGATCTTGAAAATGCTTTGCAAAAACATCTGAGAACATTCTTTTGCAAAATTCTTAAAAGAAAATTTAGAATTATTCAAAGTCACTAATTTATATACAGATATTTTCTATATTGAGATCTCTTTTCAATATTTATTTCATTCACTTCATTTCAATTTAAATAAATTCCATCAATGAGATTTTGGCTTTCTATTCCAGTTTTACATGGGAAAATCACAGATAAGTGCATAGTGCAAGAAAAAAACAATCCCAACTCTAGCTGCCATACGTGAGTTCTCCTTTGCTGTGTGATTCTGACAGGATACTCAAAGTATGGTCACATGAGAAAATGATCCTGTGGAATTAGCTCCATGTTAGCAGCAACTTGTGTGCTTTTAAAAAAAAATCCGTACTGAGAAATAATTTGAAGAAGATAATCTTGCAGTTTGGACAGGATTAGCTGCATACTGCATAGAACTTTTGACTCTGGGTTTGAGAATATCACCATAGTCTAAATAAAATAAGTCAAATTTACTTCCCACCTCCTTCAGAATTTATAAATCATATGAAGAGATTAGCTACTAAGAAAAAACATGAAGTTGTTTAGTAAAAAAGTTTGTTTTCCTTCAGCAATTTTCTTTTTAATTACAACAAATGAAAGCGATTCAGGAAGATGGGCCCTAGTCTAAATTGCAAAAGGAGACAGAATGCACATGACAAGGTAGGACCACACATCTATGCTTATCAGAGTGGAAGACAGTGATCTAGGGCTGTAATGGAATTACAAATCCCTAATTCTAAACATGCATAAATATTAGTGGTTTAACTTTCTTAGGAATGTTTTCTTGATCATTTCTGACTTTTTAACGGTCATTTTCAGAGCAAAAAGTCAGCAGATTAATATATTCAGCCATCTCTTTAATTGCACAATGACTCCAGCAAAAATCTTTTATTTTTTTTTCCCCTTTAGATAAATAAACATAAAACGTAAACCTGTACTACTATTGGTAGTCACTATACCTTTTTAGAAGCTTCAGATTTCTTACCAAGTAGGCTTACAGAGATTAATATTAAAGGCTGAATATTAAATATTGCAAGCCTCTGACACTAATCTACTTGAACAATAAAACTGAGGCATAGTAAATGAGTTCTCAGAATAACTGGATATGTTTCTTCATTAAAAAAACTTTTTAATTAAACCATCCAATTTAACGTTTTTATATGGCACTTTAGTTTTGAAGGTAAAGTCAGCTAGAGACAGCTGACAAAGAAATTATAACTGCAATTCCTTGGTGAAAATGTTAATGACAGCAAAATATTGTTTAATTAGATGATTGCAGCATCTGGATTAACACTCTTTAAGAGCGATGTTCCTGTGCTTGTCTGCTTCTTCACACTTTACAGACATTTTGTCATCTCTAGGTCATTAGGAAAGAATTTTTAATGATTTTTCTAGAAGCAAGTAGTTCGAGTTACATCTAATTAGATGACAATAATAAGCCCAACACATGCAGTAGCTAAATATATACATAATTAACCAGTGAGGGCTTGTACATCACAGAGTAAAAAAGTGGAAAATGCTAAACAGGCAAAGAAAAAAAAAAAAGGAGGGAGAAGAAGTTCATCTGAATTTATTACCTGACTGAAGATGTCATATTTTTCCACCACATTTTAAAAAATAATCCTTTTCCACTACAAGAAATGACTTACGAAAATTAAGGGTATAATTATTCTCCAGTTCTTTCAAGAGCTGTGACAGGTAGGATTTGAAAGAATTAAAACTGCAATAAATACAAATGCAAACAGATATTTAATACACTACAGGTTGAAAAGAAAAAAGTATCAAAAATCAGTTAGTTACGGGGAAATAGATTTCAAATCTAGATTTCTACCTAAAATAATGGGCTTTGCAAACATAGAGAATTACCCCAGTCTTTCATTTGATGCAGTGGGATTATTTTTAAACACTTTTTCAATAATTTCAAAATAATTTTTCAATAATTTCAAAAATTCAATAAAAGCGAAAAAAATAAAAAATGGTCCCTACATCACTCACAGCATTCAGATGACACATATGCTATAAGGCCTTTTGGTACGTGTCTGATGAATGGACAATTAGTGTATCATTGCTGCTCCCAAGCCTTCAAAGTTAAAGAATCCCTGGGAAGGGAGTAGATAGGAGGAGGGGGGAAGGTGGCCTGGAACATCTACACAGCCAGGACAAAAACCAGGGGCATGGAGAGTATAACACTGAGACTGATTGATAAGTAGCAGAGTGCAGTGTTTACCTTTGGGAAAAAAAGAAAAAAACAGGGCGGTAAACATGATGAAATATGGTCAAGTCAGCATAGAGTGCATGAAAGAGGTGAAGACCTTAGGAAAATAATAGGGAGATGAGAAAATAGTTGGCTAGAGGACCAGAGAAACAGGTTGAAACAAGACTACAGAAAATGAAGAAAGAGTAAATTTGAACTGAATTTGCACTAAGATATGAGGCTAGCACAAGTGATGCAAATCACATCCTTGCATAGGAAATGATCCAGGGGAAAAAAATTGTGATAGAACTAAACAGTTAGTTATTGAGTCATGAGCAGAGATCACAACAGAAACGGTTAAGCTGAAAATGAAGCTAAGGTATGTTTGAGATGTGCTAACAGGGTGATACAGAATTTTAAAAGCGTCATAGAAAGATGGATTTTTCCAAGGGGACACTTCAGTATTTTAAATGCTAATGAAGATCTTACAGTCTACATAGTGGCTATGTTTGTTAGGACAGACATATTTAAGAGATACAAGGATAGATTATTGAGTTATACAGTAGTTCTGTTCTACTGGAATCAACCAAGTCTGTATGATTAGCAACATTAATAAGCAGGTAAAGGACTCAGAGAAGTAAAAGACCAAGCTGCATGTCAAAAATAAACAAAATGAGTTGGTATCATAAGCCTCACTTCTGAATCACTTGCTTGCATGAGAAGCAGTGTTGCCAGCAGAAACAGGGCAGTGATTGACCCCCTGTACTCAGCTCCGGTGAGTCCACACCTCCAGTACTGTGTCCAGTTTTGGGCCCCTCACTGCAAGAAAGACATTGAGGCCCTGGAGCAGGTTCAAAGGAGGGCAACAAAGCTGGTGAGGGGTCTGGAGCACAGGGCTTATGAAGAGCGGCTGAAGGAGCTGGGAATGTTCAGCTTGGAGAAGAGGAGGCTCAGGGGAGACCTCATTGCTCTCTGTAACTACCTGAAGGGAGGTTGTAGTGAGCTGGGGGTCAGCCTCTTCTCTTGTGTAACTGGTGATAGGATGAAAGGGAATGGCTTCAAGCTGTGCCAGGGGAGATTCAGGCTGGATGTTAGGAAATACTGCTTTTTGAAAGAGTGGTCGGGCACTGGAATGGGCTGCCCAGGGAGGTGGTGGAGTCACCAATCCTGGAGGTGTTCAAGGAACGTTTGGATGTTGTGTTGAAGGACGTGGTTTAGTGAGAGCTATTGGTGATGGGGGGATGGTTGGACTGGATGATCTCGTAGGTCTTTTCCAACCTTGGTGATTCTGTGATTCTGTGATTCTGTAAATGTCTTTTCCAGTACTGCTTCTCCTTGAATAATTTCAGAAAAGGGGCAAAAGAAAATATGAATAGCTTCTTATCATTTTGTAAAGTGTTAGAGGCCGGCTAAGCACCACTTAAGAAGAAAGGAAGCTACTAAAACTGGCAAAAAAGGAGTACTAAAGTTCTTAGTTAGTGGATCTCTACTTATTTGGAAGAAAAGAAAAAACTACAAATTTCTTACCAGCAAATGATCTACATTTCTTAGGTGGAAAACATCTACTTTTGATAAGTGACTACGCTATGGTTCAGATATGCTGAATAAATCAGTAAGAGCTACCTGGCAAGATGAATAAAAAATTAAGGTGCACATATTTTTCAATAGCTAAGACCAATGATATTATTAAACAAGATTATGCTGTTAAATAAAAAGTAGTAGTCCAAAACTAGGCCATCACTGTCTATAAGAACAATTACTGGCAAAGAGGTTGTATCTTTTAAGGGAAGTTTTGAAACTTTTTCTCGCTGGCATTGGCCACGGAGCTCATGTGCATTCCATCATGGTGGATTTCTTTCTTGTCAGCAAGGTTACAGTGAAACTCTTCGCAATACCTCCAAGATCTTGATATATATTTTGGGAAGCCAGTTTCCTAGCCAGTTTCAGCTACAGAAATAAGTTGTCCTTTCAAAAAATAGTTTTCTGAATTTTTGCTTCCATCAAAAATTTTAGAGCTTCTTCCAAACTGGAAAAAGAAGTTTATTGATGTGTAGAACTGCAAGTTGGGTTTCAGCCAGGATTAAATTTCTTAAGTTATTCATAAAGTTTTTGTCTGTATGTGTGTAGCTGGCAGGAGGCTCAGCTACTGTAAGTAAATTTTATTCTGATTTTCAAACTAAACATCATGAGATTCTATGGGATAGCATCAGTGAAGATAGACGTTATAATTTTTGCAACTGAATTCTATTTGGTTACCTTCATAGTCTCAATTGTTGAAAAAAGGTTTGATTTTTTCTTTTTTTCAAAAACATTCACGAAGTACTGAAACACTATCAGACCAGCACCCAAGAATCTCACTTTCTTTTATATATCCTTCAAAAATATTTTTAGAGGGTACAGTGGTAAATTCTTCCCCGCCTAACATGATGACTTACTGAATTTGGAAAATGATGACAGGACAGAAATTACATAGATTGGTAAGGACCCATTTGCAAATGCTTAGCAATACAGATGGCTTTGAAATAACAGTCAGAGTAAGTGATATTCCTTGTGACAAGGAAAAGTTCCCCTAGAGACTCAAATTTACCTTTCTGTCTTTTGGAAATATGACCTTTACCAAAGTTTAAATTTGAATTTGATCATGTCTTCCTGAAACATTTATATGGCAGGTAATGCTCTTGTATTGAGAAGTGAGTTTATACAGTGAACAACAATGAGATTACATGAACAAAAGAAGTTTACCAATAAGAGTGATAACAAAATGTCTGCCAGAAAGTAGATGTGTTGAGTCACTGAGAGACACTACCAAGGTACTGACCAAGCTGCTGTAAGCTTTTCAAAGGCAATACAAGCTCACAAAGAAAAGTAAGAAGAATATGCTGGTAATCCTCCAAACCATGAAACCTGGAATGCATATGGAAGCGTACACTTTTGTAAAGCAGATGAATAATACTAGATGACATTAAGAGAAAGTTGTTTTATGTAAGCAATCAGGCGTTTGGCTACAAAGCTTGCCTAATAGCACTATATCAAAAAAGAAAAAAACAAAAAAAAAAGAACAAAAAAAAACACCAAGCATTTTTCTTGAGACCTCTGAGATATTCTGATGGGATCCCTTCAGGCTGAAGCTTGTTTATTGATGGATACTCTGCTGTAAGTAGCACTGCAATTCCTAATTGAATTCAAGCATAATGATGTCTTCAGGTTTTGATGCATTGGTGATGTACCCAAAAATAAATGACCTTGAAGTTTTTAAACTGATTAAAAATGAAAAGTAATTTATCAAAAATTGGCTTAGCTCTTGTCTCCTCTCATTAAGGAATTTAGACATGCTGCTTAAAGAAGAACCAAACATATGAAAAGGAAATCATAAGTGAAAGGCAGTTTTGTCGACAACGCATTGGAAAGAGGCTGAGAGGGCTTGAACAACTTCCAGCTCTCCAGCAAGCCCTCCAAGTTTGGGTGACATGGACAGGGAGCCTGTGAGGCTCTACCTGAATTTCCTAAAAACCAGAAGGGCAGCGGATATGTGAGAGACATGGAGCAGCTGGATGTAGCCAGTGTCCAGAGGCAGGATAGCAGCATTTTCATGGCCTGGTGCCAGAGGTAATAAACGCTCCACAGGGCTCCTTTCTTAGGAAGCGATCTGTGCTGACTGTGGCTGTAATGCTCCGAAGCCAGGCTGTTGTGCCTGCATACAACTACACTATACAGACTTTCTAGTCCAGGTCTCTGGTTCAGGGACGCTTCAGGGACGCTGCTTTGCACTCCACTGTGCAAGGTAAACATGCCCTGAGATTTCCAGCCATTCATCGGTAACACTTCTGTATCACACTGGGATAATCTGATGACACATTTATTAACGCCTGTGAGCCTGGATGCACAGAAGATGGCTAGCATATAAACACAGAAGCAAAAGCCTAAAGGTTTAAAGAAAGTCAGTTTGACAGCTGCTGAATTCTGCCACTGTCCTACTGGGAAGAACACAGCGACTCAGCTCAGACTAGTCACAGTAATGGGCATTTTGGGTGCTACTGTGGGGTTTTGCACTTACATTTGTCTTCTGTCAGGACAGAGGATAACCTCAAGCAGGAAAGTCAGGACCAAGTAAGAATATGAGATGTGGAGCCTGGTGGGATTTAATTTGTGCTTCAAATTAAAGCTCACTGGAGGGAAATGTCTGAGGAAGCCTCTCGACAGGCAGGTTGATAAGCAGTACGTGCGCTAGAGGCAGGAATCTTAACAATAAACCATATTCTAGAAATCTTTGCATATGGTTTAGAAAATTGCTGCTTCTCACATTTAAAAGTATGTCTAAGTTAATACATAGAAAAGGAAGAGGTGAAAGGAAAAAAAATACACTGTGAATGTCTAATTAATAACAATTGCCAGAAAAACTCTTCTTCTGCCAGTAACGAATGGATGTCTGTGGCAGTTATTTCTCATTTTAAATACCTAATCTGATATTATATTTCAGTTCAAAGAACTAAATGAGAAAAGATGCTGTAATCTAATCATACCACAATCCAGGTGACATCTGTACTGGGCAGAATACTGTTGTTATTCTGCTGTCTTGTTGCTGTTGCTGAGAATGATGAAGTAGCAAAATTACATTTTCCCATTATTATTTCCAGACATTCTCTGGCAATGGTTTGTTGACTCTAATAAAGCTTCAGACAAAGCTGTCAGCAGAGGAAATGGCAAGGAGAGCAAGGAACAGCCTCCACAACAATACATGAATCTAAAGCCTTGGTGATAGGTTGTGCAATTTCTGAGAAAATGCAATGTGTGTATTTCAGGATCTATCAAACCTGCAGCTGAATTCCAGAGGGATGAATGCATTCTATCAAGTCACAGTGCTTAAGACTTTGACAAACATAAACATATTATGAAGGATTAAAGAGTCAGAAGCTTTACCTGCTATAGTGTTGAGGAACATCAGGTATTCAAAATTAGATATCTCTCGTCTTTGCCAGCGCTGAGTCATGTTGGAGGATTTATAAAGCTGTCGGGGAGTGGCCAGAGAGATTCTCCTACAAAATACATTTAATGAATGATTATTTTAAGAGCCCCATTAAATGCTAAGACATAGAACAGCATTATTAGTGTGATTAATTTCAGATTCTCTCAGATGTTTTTTGATTCTATTTAATGAAGTCAAGAAGACACTATATCCCTTATTTAATAAATTACTAAAATTAATATCTTTATTTTATTTTACCAGAACTACAACACTATAATAATTCAGAAGAATGCGTTCTGTGGTTTATTTTGTTCTGAATCTGGTTAAAAATACTGGAAGCAAAAGGAACTGTAGACCTCCCGGTGCCTGTGTTGTCCAGCAGGAATAAAAGAAGCATGCCATTTCCCTATTTCAAAAGGACATGTTGAGATAAGTTCATTAAGGTGAGTGATAGATATTAAAGCACCATAATTTTCCAGCACATGGGTTAAAGATATTTACTCCATTATTTGTGTGCCTTCTCTGTAGTCAGTTACCCACAATCTACTCCTATATTCCAGTAACCTCTAAGATTTCTACTTCTAGCCTGGTTTCTGAAAAAATCCAGGTTTATTCAGTTATCTGCTCATGTGTCCACCTGCCCACCTCTCCATGATAACTCCTGAATTGCACTGAAATTGGGAAAAGAAATTGAAGTTTCTAAGATAATTAATTTCCACACATTGTCTATAAATTAGATGAGTGCATAAAGGAGAAAGAACCAAAGTTCTGTGCCAAAAAAATCTCTAACAAGCAGGGATAGCGTCATTGATCACAATTCATTTCCAAAGAAAACAGTCTTTGCTGAGAAGAAACAAGGAAAATATTTGAATGGAGGAAAAAATCATCTCCTCAAATACTTTTTTTTACAGAAACATACATTTTTTAAATTGATCAAAATAGAGAAAATGTTTGTTCATTGTTGTTTTTTTTTTTCCTAAAAGTATCCTCAAAGTTTATCCTATTCATAAATTTAATACACTATATATATAGCTCTCCAAGAGCAACCAGAAACACCTGATGTTTCAGCTTTCAGATGCCCTCCAGACATATTAACTGCACTATTTCAGGGCTCTGAATGCTGAGTATTCTCTTAAAACAAAGTCATATTCAAGGTGTCAAATCAGGTAGCAATTACAAAAATGTCGAACACCTACTTATAAAGATATTTGCACATATACATATACATGCACTAGACTCTGCTCCCAGTTAAAAGGATGACTATTGAAATGTGATTGGAATGAACAGTTATCACAGTTATAGGTCTTTATATGTCTAAAAGGTCAGTGCCTAGATTGTGAGTGTCTGCTACACTTAAATTCACAAATTAGGCATACAAAAATGACATGTGAGTGCATGTTTGCTTTTCTTTTTCTTCTTCAGTTTTTATTTTAATCTCAAAACTGCACTGCATAAGGCCTTGCCAGGTAATTGTGCATACACTCCACTAGTACACAGAAGGCACTGCAAATGTTTTGTTTCTATTATGCTTCTGAACAATCTATCTTAAGAACTATCAGAATGAAATCGCACTTTATGATGTATTTCACAGAATAACAGATTTACAGTGGAGCTCTCACAGTTTTACTGTTCCCAGTAAATTATGACTAATGCTGGGCACAAATTAATAAATACAGAAATAAAAGTACTAAAGAGATAATTAAATTTGCAAAACATTTCTGTCATAGAATTTCTGTTTCTTTAACAATGAAACAAAAGTATATGCATCAGTATAACTTAGTAGATTTTAGATTTCACCAGCAATCTATCAGTCTCACAAATCTATGAACTGTTATTGCTTCACATTTGAAAGACTGATTTAGGTGAACTCTCTACAAAATCAAATTATAGAGAAAAAGCTCCTTATTTGTTTTCTAAGTTATTTGAAAGATTTGAAGTCATTTCAGCAGTCTGGAAAAAAATATGTGCAATAAATTGGTTCCACACCTGCTTGTTTCAGTTAACACAGAAAGACCCACTGTTTTGTGTCTTGCTGAATTATTCCACCTTTGATCAAACAATTTCTCTGTTTCTGTATGCCATCAGAAATGAGAAGATGCAACAACAAATGTACTTCCTTTGCTTCTGGAGAACTACGACATACCTCCTCAAAATGGAAGCTGCAGAAGACCCTCTGATGGGATTATCCAATTTTCCAAGTTTTATTTGCTTTAGCTATGTTTACTAACTATTTTGTTCAGGGAAGCAATGCTATGTATCTCACACATGGAGCATGATCAGTTCCCCTTTCTCAATCACTTCTTAACAGCTACAATCTAACTTGATACAATCGATCCTTATGTATCTCATTAGAAGTGCAGTACCTCGCTTCTGGCAAGAAACTCATCAACATTTGCTTTCAGTCAAAACTCTGAGTGCTTTTATGCTTTAGTGAGATCAAATAATTTCCCAACTGTGTACCTTCCAAAATCCCAATGTATACAACCAGACTTGGAAATTCATCAACAACCTACTGATGCAGAAAAAGTGCCAGTGCTGAGTTCACGTTAAGCATGGTTACCATACCAGCTAAATTATATGTTTTCCTTCAGCAAGAAACATTATTGTCCCTCTATGCTCAGCTCTGGTGAGGCCACATCTTAAGTGCTGTACTTAATTTTGCGCTCCTCACTACAAGAAAGATATCGAGGCCCTGGAACACGTCCAGAGAAGGGCAGTGAAGCTGTGAGCAGTCTGGAGCACAAATGTTATGGAGAGTGGCTGAGCAAACTGGGATGGTTCAGTCTGGAGAATAGGATGCTCAGGGAAGACCTTATTACTCTCTACAGTTGCTTGAAAGGAGGTTGTGGTGAGGCGCGGGGCCAGCCTCTTCTCCCATGTAAATAGCAATTGGACTAGATGGAATGGCCTCAAGTTGCACCAGGTTGTTCAGGTTGGATATTAGGAAAATTTCTTATCTGAGAGTGTCGTCTGAGAGGGTGCTGGAATAGGCTGCACAGGTTGATGGTGGAGTCAACAATCCCTGGAGGTGTTCAAGAAATGTGTCGATGTTGTACTAAGGGAAATGGTTTAGTGGGGAAATAGTGGTAAAAATTGACATAATTCATAATTTTAAGGACATTATTTCTCTGAAACTTTGAGCATAGATTGAATGCTTTGTTGAATAAAAGCATTAGACAGGCAAAGGGAAGGAATGGTAACAGAGGCAAACTGGAGATTTGCTCAGAATGGTTGTTCTGTAACAGTCTTGAGAAGCAATACCAGTTTGCCTGCTTCTATTAGTCTGCATTATTAGATCATAGATATTTTTTCTTCCATCTTTATCAGTCACAGGATTTCTCCATGAAAATAGAAACACACTAAAATACACATATTTACTTCATTAAAACTCATTAACTCCTTCAGACTGTTTCCATCTTGAATTGCAATTATTTTATGTAATTAATTTTAAATCTAAAAACTATTACCAGTGAAAAAATCAAACGAAGGAATTTAAGCAAAACCACTAGAAAGTTCTGCTTTTGTTAAAATATTTTAAAGTACAGTTTAATCTGGAAAACTGGGCATAACATATGTTGATGTTTTACTCAGTGTAGCAGTTCCCTGAGTAGATGCTGTCTACTCACCATTTGTGTTTATATTTATGATACAAATGCACATACTTTTTAAAACTCCTACTAGCATTCTGGAGCCAACATATTAATGGGAAGTGAAACTATACTGTACTATAAACAAAATATTAATACTGGCTGGGTGGATGGGGAGAGAGCAGTGGATGTAGTCCACCTTGATTTCAGCAAGGCATTTGACACTGTCTCCCATGGCATCCTTATAACAAAGCTGAGGAAGTGTGGGATAGATGAGTGGACAGTACTCATCTGGAGTACTATGTCCAGTTCTGGGCTCCCCAGTACAAAAAAGACAGGGATCTCTTGGAAAGAGTCCAGCGGAGGGCCACGAAGATGGTGAAGGGCCTGGAGCATCTCTCCTATGAAGAAAGGCTGAGTGAACTGGGTCTGTTCAGCCTTGAGAAAAGAAGACTGAGAGGGGACCTGATCCAGATCTACAAATATCTAAGGTGTGGGGGGCAGAGTGGCGAGGCCAGACTGTTTTCAGCAGTGTGTGGAGACAGAACAAGGGGAAACGGCCAGAAACTGCAGCATAGGAAGTTCTGCACAAATGTGCACAAGAACTTCTTTACGGTGAGGTGACAGAGGGCTGGAACAGGCTGCCCAGGGAGGTGGTGGAGTCTCCTTCTCTGGAGATATTCAAGACCTACTTGTGCAACCTGGTGTAGGGAACCTGTTTTGGCAGGGGGGTTGGACATGATGATCTCTGGAGATCCCTTCCAACCCCTACGATTCTGTGATTAACTGTAGTTAATACTGTTATTGAGCCAGATTTTCACTGAGTTACTTCACTGCAGTCCTACAGACACAAAGAGCATGTAGACAGAAGTAAAGGAAAAGCCATTAAAGGGTCTTCTATAGTGCATAAATCATAGAGTGATTACACAAAAAGAAAAAGGAAAAACAACTTAACTACCATATGCCAGATTTATTCTGAAGGGTAACAAGCCCGTTTTTGATTCAAATTGAACTGTAATATAAATATGGAAATTTTACTGCACATAATATTGAAGCAGAAACTTTACTCAATAATTGCATATCAACAAACTTTTCCAGACAATTATTCAGTGAATAATGCACAAAGGGTATGAATTTCAGAAGTAAAAAATAAGTCACTATTAGATATGGAATTCTGATCGATTCATTTGCATTTTGTTTGTTCCAGAACATGTGGTTGGTCTTGTTTTTTTTTCAGAAAAGAATGCTATTACTTTCCATTTAGAGACTGCAATTCTTTTATTTTGAGCTTTTGGAAGAGCAATGTAAATGCTAACAAGATGCACCTTCCAAAGAGATGCCTCAATTTCCCCTTGATCTCAGTGAAAACTTGAGAAACTTGGCAGTTTGCCTAAGGATTTCAGCACGTTCAGGAGATCAAGACATAGGCACCATAAGACTCTTCAGCTTATGACGGGGAATGATGTTCAGCTGGAAAAGAAACAGTTATCCAATCCTATAAATGCTTTGACATTACAGAGTATTTCCACATTCTGCACTGGGATAAAACAAGGAAAATGTGGATTTTTAATCCGTAAAAATGACTTAAAGAATGAGAAAGACACATCCCAGATTGCACACTGATGATTAAGCCATTGGCTTTTGGCCAAACCAAGACAAACTGAGATCTGAACCCAAGGCGCCATATTTTTTGAATTTCCTGCTGTCTATTCTCTTTGTTATTTTTATTTTATTTTGAATAGAAATTCATTCTGAATCTAAAAAGCATTCACAGACTTCTGGTTATGCACTCTCAAAGATGATTTTAGATATGAACAAACACTTAGAAACAAACAAAAAAATGGCAGCAAGATATCTAACCCCAGAGCAGTGAGGTACACATAAAGACCATCTTACCCAACACTGAAATATGAACTCTTTTCTCAAATAGGACCTGACAGTTAGGATTCTTATTTCTGACAATAGGTTGATGAAAAATGAAATGAAAACTGTAGCTGTCCATAGTAAGTGAAAATCTGTAAAACTGAACTTCAGTTGATATTTTTCAAAGTGTAGATCTTAAATTTTGGAAAAATTTAGTCATTAAACTCAGGAATAGAAGGAATTTATAAAATTCAAAATAGGCACTATACTGAATAAAGAAGAAAAATGCACATACATTCACATAAACTGCCAGTGAGAAGGTGTATAAAAAAATAATTTTCATTCAGTAAACAAGTCAAGTTTACTTCAATATTATTAATTAAAGACACAATAAGGATGATCATTTGTGCATATACTTATAAAATCTTACTGAAAACTAGACTTTGAAGAGATAAGATACAAGTTTTATTTTGATCCTTCACTAGGAGGTGTGTATTTCCTTTAAAGAATGCAAAATCCAATTTAGAATACTTCCATTTCCATTCTGCAATAACAGAACACATACTAAGTAAAGAGCACTGTTTCTCAAACTACCCTGGAATAATGTTTTAGTATTCACAAGTATAAAGATATCATGTGTTTAATATAATGAACACAGAACGTTCCAACTATTTTAATCAAATTACCTGGCTTGTGGCAATCCATAGCTGGTTCCTACTCCAACACGTGGCAAGCTGTATACAACTTTTTTCACTGTTGCTTGGTCAGGAAAATTAAACATAACAGAAGCTAAAAGGAGAAAATAAGGACTAGTAAACCATTTAGCAAAATCTTTATCTCCACCAGCATATATTAAAATAATTTTGGATTTTATTTGCAAAGATAAATTAGTTAAACATTTTCACTCCCAGAGTTATTTTTGGGATTTTTTTTTTCTTTTTCTCATAGACATTTCATTACAACACTTCCAATTTAAAAAAAAAAAAAAAGAAAAAGAAAAAGAAAAAAAGAAAGAAAAAAAGAAAGAGGAAAGAGGTGAAACAGGAAAAGAGAATTTCCTATCAAACATTTGTAGAATTTACAAATTCTAATGATCTGCCTTTCTGTGAAGCAGTGAGATTGATTTACAGGATTGATTTTGACTTGACAGGACAAGGAGAAATGGTTCTGAACTAAAATAGGGGAGATTTAGATTGGATGTAAGAATTTTTTTTTTTTTACAATAAAGATAGTGAAGTACTGGCACAGGTTGTTGAGAGATGTGGTGGATGCCCCATCTCTGGAGACACTCAAGGTCAGGCTGGACAGGGCTTTGAGCAGCTGATGGAGCTGTAGGTATCACTGCTCATTGCAGGAGAGTTAGACTAGACGACCTTTAATAGTTCCTTCTATCTCAAATGATTCTATGATTCTATGATTTTAAAATGCAATATATCATTAAAGAGAAACATAAGCACTTTACCAAAGGAAACACAAATTCTAAGATTAATCAATACCATACAAAATATTTACTGGAACATTTTTTTGCAACACAATAAACAACGACATACTTCTGTTTGCCATAAACACTTCCAAAGCTGTGTTCTGAAGAAGATAACGTCTTGAAAAAACAGCCCGAATCTCGCTGAACATCCATTTTCCATGAAGACCTTCTGTATAGGCAAGGACCTTTAAAGTAAGAAACAGTGATCATTATTGGTAGAATACTGCCATCACAACATTCACAAAAACACAGTTACGTTTTAACCATCCGTGTAGTACAGATAACTGTATTTCTTTAATATTTAAAACCATTAGTTAAAATAGGACCTTAAAAGGCCTTAAAATGCAATAAGGTATAGCTGTTAGAGTATTGATAAGAACAGTAACCTGGTACTCCTAAGGTATATTCTTCATGAGTCACGTCAACTTATTTTCTTCAAAACACAAAACTCTACAACCAAGCAGCAATAATGGAAACAGTTGCAATTACGCCTCATTATTTTCTTATGTGCTGAGTAGCAGACTTATTTCTGAGGCTGTGCAAAGAACAACCAAAATAGTCTGCTACTGACATCCATTTCAGACTTATAAATTAGAGCTCTCTAAATTCCATTAATAAGTGCAGAAAATAGCTAGAACAATACGTTGACACAGAAACTTTTCTAAATTAGGTGTATTTAATATATGAAACTATGAAGAAAATGTGTTGGTTTTTGTGATGTGATGGTTTTTTTTTTTTCATTTTTAACAAAGTGCAAAAATATTTTAAAATAAAATAGCTAAAAGTTAGCACTGCTTTTTCAGTTTGTCAGTTTTTCAACTGAAGGTACTGGTCTAGAATTAGATATTAACACATAAGAAATCTCTTTCACTCCTTCACTCTTCTGGAAAACAGACACAAATTACACAATTTAATTAGGTATCAGCTTTATTAACTAATCTCATCTGGGAATCACCTTTCAAACAGTATCACTTGGTGCAAACATTTTCCCAATCCTTCTCATCATCTGGATATCTCCCTTTAGCCCTTCACTCCTGCTCAGGAGGGCTCTGCCCATAGATGATCCTCTGACAGCCTTCACTTTTGTCACTTTGGGAGGAGGACAATCCCCTCACTGCATCCCGTTGCATTTACCGAGTCCTGCAGATTGTGCCTTCCTCTAAGCTGCAGCTAAGAGCATCACAGGTAAGAGAGTTCATGGTAAAATTCTGTGAACATCTTCACTAAACAGAAAGGCAACAGAAACTTTTAACTGGATTTTATTCCTGCTCTCCATTAGGTGTATAGACACTGTTGATGCACCAGCTTGCAGTGCTTCTACACCAGCTGAAGCCTTGCTCTCTGTAACCATGACCTCCCCCACCTTCTGAGCAGGGAAATCCCAGGGAGCCCATGTCTTGCTGCTGTCAATGATCCTTCTTGCTTGAGGTACTGGAAATTGGATTCTCCAGCTTTTCACAGATGCAGACACAAGATATTAACATTTCCATAAGTAAAAAAGCTAGTTTTATACACACTGTGTTAAATATCCCAATGGATATCTGTCAAACTTTGTCCTTCTAATCTTTTTCTCATAACCACAATGAAACCATTTCAGAGATGATGTTAACAATGGCAACAAAACAAATGGGTTCAAATGTTAGTTCTGCCTTTGATGGAAACTAGAGAGAGGAGATCCATACCATCTATATAGAAAGAAGACACAGGTAAAGTTTGGAGCAACGGTTTCATTCACCTCAGCTCTCCAGACACAGCCTTGAAGGGAAGGAGCGTGATTTGTTTGGTGATCCTGAGCTGTGCTCAAGAGGCTACATGCTCCCTCCATGCAGTTATGAGACATCGTACACTAAATTCTTGTTGTGTTAAATTAACCTTCATGTTAAAACCCGGTACTTCATTTTCACTTTGAACTCTGTTGGCTTCAGCTTCTACCACTGGATCTTACCATACATTGTCTATGAGATTGAAGTGTCCTCTGATATCAGGTATCTTTTCCTTGTGCTGTGATCCAGTTACTACTTAGCTTTCTCTTGGAAATAAACCAACAGTCTCTAGCTAAGATCAGATGTAGAATACTGTTGGTATAATTTATACGAAGTTCGATTGAGTATAAAGTTTCTAGAATAATCCTTCTTCAGATGTCTTCTAATGTATATCTTTTGTCATTACACTTTCTTAAGGTACTGAAAGGAAAACAAGTTTAAAAAACACTGAAAGAAGAGAACAGTCTTAGGGAGGAGTTTGAAATGTACATAACTGTAACCAGACCTACAGCAGCCAGAGGATTTGCCAGAGAATTAGTTCCTTGACAGGTCATCATGCTTCAGGAATTCATTTTTTGTTTCAAAAATGTTTCTAGTTGTCACATTTTTTTTCTAAGGAAAAACATCTAATACTGACTGTGTGCTGTGTATTTACATTTTACACCATTCACAGGAATACATTTACAATCTCTATATGAAGCAGAGCTTAGTTATTACAAATCAACACTATCAGCACATTATATGCCAACCGTACAGTGTCTTTTGCTTCCTCCTATTCTACTCATGTGTAAAGCAATCACAGACGTACATTCACCAGCTGCCATGAAATGAATGGCTTAAGATAGCACTCCAGATGAGCTTAAAGCAGTAAAAACCATAGGAAATCAGAGGAAGGGAAGGAGGCTGTAATTCAGTTACTGTTCTCAATTACACTCTTCTTAACTGTCTATTAGTCCAAGAGATATCAGATTATCATGCTAATATCAAATCATCTCAATTATTTCAGTATTTCTGGTGTATTGTTTTCCTGTTCAACATATACTACCTATTTTGTCAGCTCCCATAACATTCATATGACACTGTATTCACAAGATGCATTAAATCTTCCATTATTAGATACCTACACCTGACAGTCAAAACTATTGACACTGTCTGCAAGATTCTTTCTTCTTACTATAAGAACAAAGACAATTTCTCTCTTCTGAATTCAATTTTTTTAAATGGAATTGTATTTTTTATTTTCATTATTATTTAGAACATATTTTTATCATTTTGCTTTTCCTTATCATACAAATAAGGATCCGGCTGGTTTATATTTCTTACAAACAGCATATACTATATATTTCATTATTGAGAAAGACATGGAAATATCCACTTGGTTCATCAAAAAGCACTGACATTATGTTACCTATTGCTCTGAAGCCAAAATTACCATGTGCTCCATCCTGTATTTTGATGTTTACATTTGAAGCCAGTGCTCTTTATTTTGATAGTTTTATGAGTTTGTCTCCTAAACAGCTACAAAGACTGCTTTCTCCTAGCATGTATTAGTGCCTGAAACACTGTGGTTAAGCACAGAATTCTTAATAAAATTAAAAAATAACCAGTCACATCTACATTGGAATTAAGTACTCTTTTCATTTCTAATATAAGAAGTAATTATTTGGTTTAAAACTTATTTCCCCTATTAAAAGCATTTATACAGAAATATGAGTATATTTTAAAGACAGCAGTAAGTTAGATAACAGACTGAGAATAAACATTTGCTAGAAAGTATTGCAGTAAGATGAAGCTGTGACCCTAATAATAGAATGAAAAGTCTCAGGGTTATATAATGAGAAATCTACTAGTGACACCTAATTAGTTTAGATTAGTAAAGAAGCTTGAGATGTGCAGGTGGAAAACTCTATTGAAGAGAAACAGAACTACTAGGAATTTGATGATCCTTGAGGTTCCTTTCAACCCAAGCCTTTCTATGATTCTGTGATTCTATTACTGAAGTGTTTTCCTACTTATTCCAAATATAAAGGCTCCATTATTTTAGTTTTATTTCTGACGTAATAAAGATCTTTTCTTTTTTCAAGTATGAGTCAGTCCATTTTGGATCATAAAGTCTACTTCAGCTATCGTTCAATTTCTGATAACAAATTAATTGTTAACTAACAGCTGGAATTTTGAAGTAGTACATTAACCAAAACATCACAAATTCTATTTTCCATTCTGCTAGCATCCCACAGGAAAACACTTTCATATTATGACTTATTTTTACAGCTTCACGCCACTTTTGGCATCGCATTGCACCAATCATAGCACTACAGTTCTGACCCCTTTCTTCTGATTACTGTCTTTGCAATTGAAATAATCACCTAATCAAGCATTATTAAGAAATCAAGGAAAGCAACTTGTACAAGTTCCGTGTATTCCGAGTTGCTATCTTTATAGCAAGAATGGTCTCTTTCCAAGCCTTTCATAAAGAATTGCTGTTTATTGCTCAGTGTTTCCTTTATAAAAATAACCCTATTGGATGATTCATTCATGCTTCTGTATTTGAATTTAGTCTACCGTATTCAGTGGGAATTGATCATTTATCATTTGGAAGCAGATCTCTTGTTCAGGGTGTTCTAATTATAATCCAATTCCTCAATGACAGTGGCAATTAATACTTCTAATATTTGCCAATCTTTGTTTACATTTAGTGCAAAATGCCTATACTCAAAAACATATATATTTATTTTAAATTTTATTTTATTTTATTTTATTTTATTTTATCTTGACATTCTGTACTAATAATATCATATAACAAAAGCAGAAATGTCTTGAAATTATATATAGTAGGACCGGTTAATTTTTTTTTGCAGCATTTCCACAGAAAAATTCTGGAGTTCTTCTAGATTATTTTCTTCAAGGTCTGAGAAAGATCTTCAGAGTCATTCTTCATAATTTACGATATAATTTATTCAGTACTATTTTCCAGTATTTAAGATGTTTTAAGTTATGTGTCCAGGGCTGCAATTTTCAACAAACTTAGCATGTCTTTCTCAACACTGGCAATTACAACTACAACTTATTCATTTATGTACTGACTACATGCTGTACCTTGTTTGTTTGTTTATTTCTCAGTGAAGCTTGAAAGGTTGAGTTTCTTCAATATAAAATATGTTTGACATATATAGTGGATTTATAATTTGAATAGCATTTCATTCTTCATTCGTCTTCTACAAGTTTTGGAAGAGAGACTACCTGCAAAAGCCCACTATGATTCGATCTATTTTATGTGTCCCAATCTTTCACAAAATACAAGATGAAGAAATCTCCATTCATTTCAATTACACAGCATTATCCACACCTATGTTATCAAAAAGAACAAAAGCAAAGCATGTTGTTTTTCCCATGAAAAACAGACTGAGGGAAAGGAAATGGGG